TATATGACTCATCATGTTCTATATTTAGATCTTTCAGCAACATAAAAAACCATTTTCATGTCTCACATGTCTCACTCCCAACAACAATATAAACCTAAGGAAATAATTCATTATTATGATCAATTATAATCGCAGCTAGCAGTATACCCTGACATGGACCCTTCAAATGACATCCATCGACCTCAATCACAGGTCGAGAACCGGACTAAAATCCAAGAACGAGCGATTTCAAACATAAATAATATTTGCTAAATCATTGTCGTCCATTAATAAACTCACCTTCCAACTCCATCAAGACACGTGATCCCGGATTCGATTGCCGCAATGCTTCAACATAATCCCATAACTTCCCATATTGCTCCTCCGCATCACCATCAATTGTTTTAAGTGTTATCTTCTTTGCCCTATATGCCGGTTGATAAGAATACAATGCATCTAATCTTTTCAAAAACATCAATTCTAAATCCTTTCACACGTCTTGAAGGGTCTGATCAAAACAACGGTTCTTATTTTTTTGGGAAGCCACTGAGACTTTACATTCTTGATATTCAGATCAAATATATAGTCATACTTTGATTGATAGGTTCTTATTTGATATGTCGATTGATCGTTCACCTTCAAAGCATTGATTCTCCAATTACAACTTTCAATTGAGCATCGAACATACATTCTTCTTTTGTCATTTTTTACTAAACTTAGTGATAACTCCAAATAGGAGCATATTCTTAGCTTGAAAAAACTGTGTATTACTCGAATTTCTGTATAAAAACCATCACAATGAATCATCAATGACATACATTATTGATATATATCGCTTGGCATGATCTAGAATTTGTTGTTGAGATTATTAACGATTTTTGTCCCTTTTAAGCGGTAGTCTGGTGCCAGAAAAGCTAAGGCAGACGCCACAAGCGACAGCCTCCTTCGCTCGCAAGCGCCCAGAATACACCTTGAAAATACTAAGGCATGAGAGGCAAGCGGCAGCCTTCACCGCCCGCAAGCGACAGCCTCTCCCGCTTGCAAGCGACGGCCCAGACACCCACCGCTGCAGACTATCGCCAGATTCCAACTAAGTATTCCAGCTGCAGCGGTGCAGCCATTCCATTTCCAGCCAGCACAAGCGAGCCTAGCTGCGCTGATGCCCTCCAGCCTTTCGGCAAGCGAGGAAGATCTGCGCCCCTACAGTTCAAGGCAATCAAAGCAAGCGCCCTGGGAGTTATGGCCAGCAACTGCCTCAACAGAATAACTATCAGCAACCGCCTAACTGCCCAGCGGTTGGAACTGCCCAACAACTGATTGCAACTGCCCCGTTTCACCTGCTATAAATAGGGCCAGATATCTGTATACAAAAGGGATCGATACTCCGAGTTTTAATACTTTTAGAAAATACTGCGCAGCAAGTCGTCTTCCTGTTTTCGAGAGCTCCAACCCTGTAAGGGAGTTCTCCACGGGAATGGCCAAGGGACTAGGAGTTCTTCTCCTCCCTTGGCCAAGTCTTTACGGTTTTCTTAGATTAGATTACTGCTTTCGTTTACAGCTTTGTAGCATTAATCTTTTCATGCTTTCGTAGTAGATAATGAAATATCATTATGTTCTTCATCCCAAATTCTTCCACCATTTTTACACACTTATATAAACTTCGAATTTAAAGAATTTCATTTCACTGGTTTAGAGCTAAAGAAGAATTGATTATTTGAGCCTTGTTATGCGCCAAAAGCGGTCTCAAGGTAGTTCAATGTAGTTAAGTACGCGGGAGCCTTGTCGACCTGCTTAACTGCTGTTCTGAATTCAATTTTGATTAAAAAGAGGTAACAAAAGAGTAAAGCCACTAATGAGGCAGATTTCGGGAAAATTAATTGGACATAGGCGGTGGTCTATTAGGTCGCAGAGATTCCTAGTGACAGTAGGGTTTCTTTTTTATAATATCTTGGATCTGGGTGTCATTGAAGTCTTGTTGTAAATCCCTTAAGGTAAAAAATTCCAGTGTTATTAATTCTTTCTATTCAGTTTATATAATTATACTATTTCCTTCTTACCGCTTCCGTAAATACATATAATTCCGATAACACAACTTCGTCGCTCGCTCATTGCCTCCAGGGATATAACGCACAGTTCAGATACAACATCTCTCCTTCACTCTCGGTCGCTCATCTATATATATATACATATAATGTGCCGTTCGCTCATGTCCCGATCACTCGGTAACCGCCACTCATGTCCCGTTCATCTGGTCCCCGCTTCCGCTCATGTCCCGATCATCTGGTTACCGCTGACACTTCATCTTTCGCGTTCGCTTCGCTCACTCCCGCTCATTCCATCTTTATCGCTTTCGTTATCGCTTTTCGTAGTCCAGTTATAGGATCCGCTGTAAGCGGATCCTCCCCTGCATTTTTCGTCGCTTTCTTAAGATTTTCATCGTTGAAATTTATGACTTAAAATCCTTGTGTTCGACCTGGAAACTCACCAGTAAAAAGAGTATAAATAATTGTGATGACTACTCAGGGTCTACAACCACAAAAATTTCTATATCTGATCGTTTTCTATAAATTCCCATTCACTGATTTTCGAATATAAATTCTCTGTGAATTGTGTAAAAACAAAAACACATTTTCATCGCTCATCACTTAGAATCATCATAGTCACGATATCATGATTTTGGATGACCTTTTTAAACTCTTTTTTTCTAACTGGAAATCATCCCAAGTGCAAACGATGGATTGTACTTGATAGATAGATCGCAAACGGTGTGAGAATCCATGAGTTCTGTATCCGACCCGGCAAGGCTTGTGAGGTCATTTTATTGTGAATCACCCAAAGACATCTCATCGTCACAATTTTGACGTACTACAACACATTGATCTTCATTCATCTTATCATTATCTACCATATTTACGTATAAGAAATGATCCATCAAATCATCTTTCATATCCTCCACTTCCATTAAATAATCAGGATCCTTGAATTTCTATAACTATTATTTTCATCGGTCATTTTCACAAATAAAATATTTTGTTCACCTACTAAAATTATAACAGAATAATGCAATAACAAATCAATAATAATGCAATTTTTAAAAATTATAAATATTATGTATATGCATATCATTTTGAAAAGAACTAAAATAGTTATACACATAAAATACAAGATTAAAAAAAAATGCAAAAAAACAAAATACTCCTTCCATCCCGGCTATGGTGTCACATTTACTGTAGACACGAGAATTTAATAGAGATATAATTACTAAATAATTAAGAATGTATTAATGAAAATAATTATCGTATAATAAAAATAATTTTAGATTAAAATTAAGATAACTAATTAATTTAATTAAAATTACAAAAATATAAATTTCAAAATTTAAAATGAGATTAATGTGTATAATTATTTTTCAAAAAGAGAAGTGACAGAATAAGTAAGACAAACGGAAATAAAAATATGGACACGATAAGTGAGACGAAATGGAGTATCATACTTCACTAAACACACAACCAAAAAAACCCTATAAAAACCCTAAACTTATAAAATATAACCAACATGCCTTTATACATTAATAGATGATAGAATATATTTTCTACTTCTCTTTTCTCTTAAAAGATGGAGGAAAAAAATTTAGATCCTTTTGTCATCGTGAAGAAAAAATAAATCATCAAAGAAAGAAAAAAAAGAATAGAAAAATTTGAACACGGCCGTGTGTACCACTAACTACGGTCGTGTTTAATCGTGGAAATTGTTCGTTCAGATAAACTCGGCCTTGTATTTACACAACCGGGAAACATGGCCGTAAGACTGATACACGAGCATGTACAGTAATACATGACCGTGTATTGAGACTGGCGGATGCTGACTTGTAGAAATACGGACGTGTTAGATAATACACGACCGTGCTCATTTCAGGTCATCCGCTACCTCGACTCCGTTAAATCCACATCAGCATTTTTTTGTTGGTTGGTTAAGGGTGGAATAAAAATTGATGAATTTTTTATATTTGGATCAAAATTGATAATTTTGGTTATATTGACACAAAAATATTTTTTCTTATTATTATTATTATTATTATTATTATTATTATTGTATTTTTATTTTTAGATTGTTGAATATATAATACAGTATATTATAAAAGATAATATTATATTTTAAATAAAAATTAATATTTTTTCGTAATTCACACATTTATTTATTTAGAAGAATAAAAAAATATTTTACTTAAGATATTTTTATATGCAAAGATTTTGTTGTTTATTTTAATTTGATTTAATTGATATTGATGTAAATTTTAAAATATTTGGTGGACAAAAATATATATTTTTAAAGTAAAATCAAATAAATATTTGATTAATATTTTAAAAAGTCAAATGAAATAAAAATAATAGTGAAAAGTAGACTTTCACATCAGTACACCGTCAAAACCTAAGTCGAAAAATCTTGAGTTATAATTAGATTTGTAAACAAATCGAATCGAAGCTACACTGCAATATTTTAATTCGATTCGTCAAAATATTGAAGAACTTTAAAATAATATTTGTATTTGATTTGACATAGTTTTCAAATTATTTGATTCGATTTTCAATATTGTTCAGATATTTAACTCAATAGTGATATTAAGACAACTTGATAAAAGAAATACGGACATTCACTTTTATTTTTATTTTTTATTTTTAAATTGACATAATAAAAGACGTTCTTTCTTTAAGATAAATAAACCATCATTAAATTAATTATAATTATAATTATAATTATATATTTATTTATATAAAGTTTTAAAAGTATTATAGTTAATAAATTTATATTTATTTATTTATTATATAACAAAGTATTATATGTATGCTATATTTCATACTAAGTACATATTTTTTATTATCAAATCCAATATTTACGAATATCGAATTGAATATTAAATTATAATTGATTCTTAATCGAATCAAATCGATTATATTTATTCGAATTCAAATCATAAAATTTCAAATCGAACATAATTATTTGATTTCATTTAAAACCTCAGTTATCAGTTACGATGCACGATTAGAAGATAGAAAATTAGCAGCAGCAGCAGTGTCTGGTTGAACTAACTAACTAACTAACTGGTTTAGCAGTTTGGCTGACAACACAGACACAATAAGAACAGGAAAGAATTAAGGAAGAGGAAAATTACACCTCCATATGGCCTCTTCTTCAACCTATTTTTATTTTTCTATTTCTTTTATAACATCATAACAAACAGCAACCAAAAATTCACATACAGATAGCAGAAATGCACAAGAATTATAATTAATGAAATCAGATTCAGACCTGAATAATATTTGGAGAGGCATTCTCACTCTTCAAAGCTTTTGTACCACCACCATTGTCATATGGTCTAAGCTTCTCCTGCTGCTGTGCATCATCATTATACAATAATCCTTGTTGGCTCTTCTTCAGGGAAAACAACCTCCAACGTGGCCTTGAAATGTTGTTATCCAGAGTCTTGGAAGAAGCCGCAGCAGCCGCCCTTTCCTCCTCAACTTTCGGAAGACAGACTGCTGTTGATCTAACTGCTGGGATCTGCCCAAATTATGCCTTGTGTTTATCCATCATCCATGCCTATGGAGTTGCCAAAAACCGCAGGAAAAACAAAAAATGGAGCGAGGAAGGAAGCTAAACGGGTAAAAAAAGAAATACCGTTGTTTTCATCAAATTACTTGGGAAGTCTGCACTTGCGAAAATGCTGTGTTTTTTTGTTGTTTTTGTAGCGGTGGAGGAGTTACGTAGCTGATGCTTAAAACTGTCTCTTGCTTTAGCCTGTGAACAAAAACAAACGCACGCTTGATACATATTTCTTACTATGCATATGTATATCTTCTTATCCTTACCTGATTGATCAAGACAAACTATATAATATAAAGGTTAAATTGCACAAAATTCATCTGTGGTTTCACGAAATTACGCCAAATCCCTCGTACTTCTAAAATTACGGCAAACTTCCTTATGGTTTCGTAAACTCTGCGTCTAACCCCTCGGCGGTCCTTATTTAAGGGTATTTAATCTAAAAATGCGCCCAAACTACACAAACTGTGAAAAAATTTTAGAATCTCAATTTCTAAATCTCTAAAATTATAAATATATTTATTTTTTTTATATTTAATCTCAAAAAACAGTAAAAAGAAACTCTTAAAACTTGAGAAAAATAACTATTTTTTAATATATTTACTATTTCTTTTTTTACTAATATGAAAGCACGACGCAGCTTTAGAAGTATAGGGGATTTTGACACAATTTCATGAAACCGCAGGTAGATTTGTGGAATTTAGCCTAATATAAATTGGTTATTTCCATAAACAACAAAAACATGCTAAATTGATGATCTGCCCATCGACCACTACTGAACTCCTCCTCACCTGTGGTTTTGCATGTAGCTTTGGTTTCTCTATCTCAGTTGACTTTGATTGCTGCTCCATCTTCTGAATAGGGAGGGATAAATAGAGTGAGTGAGGTTTATTAATACAAGTGCATACATACAGTCATAGAGTCGGGAGTACTTGCCTCTTTGCGCTTTGCTGCTCTTTCATCACTCTTGAAGGTGAAAGGACAAGCCACAGTAGTGGGTAGTCGCGCTTTCAACCCGACTGTAGCAGAGGATGATGACGACGACTTTGATGAGCATCTGTATTTATATGTCACCATCACCAATTCACACTGCAATTACAATTACATTATCTAATCTTAATGCTTGCTAATAATGAATTCGTGCTTACTTAGTCGTAGATGAGGATGAGGGCAGCACTTTCCCATCTAATGTCCTGCTTCGTGACAAAGAAGAGGAATTGCCGTGTATTATTGATGTCGTGGTCCTTCAAAACCAATAAATCATAATCAATCTTCACTAACAAAAATAACATTCTCTAACCTCATTTCTTTCCCTAGTTCCAAAACACATGATGTTATCTACCTGTTCTTCTCTTGCTGATGCTGACAGGTTCCTCCTATATGATGCTTGAATACACCACCATTCGCAGGTTCCTGTAAGTAAAGCATATTCGGCACTGTAAATAATTTTATAAAAAAACATAACCAGTATGATAGCAGGGAGCAAAGCACAGAACGAACCGTGGTTGATGTCTGAGTACGCCTGCTGTCTTTGAATCTCCTGGCAGGTGCTCTGCTGGTGCTGAGACTGGTGGCATTGTTCTTTGGCCGACCTTGGATTGTGGGTTTCTGTGTATCACCTAAACAAGATCCCAAATTGATGGACATGTGAAGGGAGGTTGTGTACGATCTCCTTTTGCTGCCTGCATCTGTTGCTATATACTTGCTGTCTGGCGTCTTCTCGCTGTTCTTGAGTTGAACTGGCAGAATTATACACTTCACAGTAGGCGAAGGTACACACTTGGGAACGCTGTCAATTTTCAACACCATTGAAGAAACTTCAGGCTCCTTCTCCTTGGATAGTTCTGAGTTTCCTAAAATCAGATCATCCTACAATGAAGAAGACAAGACAATAGAAAGATCAGTTAGAGGAAGACCGACCTGCTGACTGTAATCCAATTCCATTGCATCATCAGTAATAAAGATTTATTGACACACGCACCTTGTGACATGCCGTATCCTCTAAATTTGGTGCATCATCGTCTCCAAAGCATCTATCATTTTCAAGATGGTTTGCCACTCTTACTGGACTTTCAATGGATTTTTCAGCCCCTCCAGGCTGGAAGTCATGCACTGCTCGTTCGGCTGAAGCATCATTTTGACTTACTAGGACTTCTTGGCAGCTGCTGTGAATCTCCTCTTCATTCGAATTTTCAGCAACTACCACTAAGTCCACAGCCGAGTAAGCTGATGAATCTTCAACCCTGTTTTCTTCATTTGCTTCGGGTAGATTGCCAGCTGCATCGTTTGATGCTGCATTTTGCTGCTCGTGTAATGCTGCAGCTCTCCTCCTCTTGAAATGGGCTTCAAAATAAGCTTTTTTCTCAGCAACAGAACCAGGCCTCGAATACCTCTCAACTTCTTCCATGTATCTGTTCTGAGTAAACGCTGACCATTTTACCCAGTCCAACGATTCAGACATGAACCTCCCAAAGGATACTGACGTTGTCAGAGCTCGGTGCAGATGATTCGCCTGCAGGCATATTTTTAACAATTTGATCTGTAGCTCAGCATGAACCCCAAAAGCATGTTTTCAAGCTGTCTGTAGATGATTTTTTTCAATTGTAAACTTGCTAAATCATTTGGTAGAACCAAAAAATTGCCTAGGGACACTTTCTTAGATTTGTTCAATTTTAAGTATTCAATTTTTTTAGATTTGAAAAAAATCCAGCTACTACACGTGATTCCATTGCGAAAGGAATACCGCTGGAGCTGAATTTCCAAATCTCTTAAGAGTATGAGAGCAAAAATACCAAAAAATACGTAATACACATTTGACCACGCAGAGGGGAAATTAATGGTGGGATTTCTCAATTCTAACTATGAATCAGAATAACAGAAAAGAAACCAAGCTTAGGAAAGTAAGAGAAATCTATTTCACATTCGTCGATTCAGGTTAGGGTTACAAAATTCAGCTTCAACGAAAACCGACTCGCAATCCAACGTATGCCTTTTCTGAATCACAGATCCAAGAAGTAACAAAATTGAATCAAAGCGACATCAAACCTTTTTCTCCTCACTGGATGTCGGAGAAGGCTGAGATAGCGAGCGCAAAAGACACAACGAAGATTCCTCCATGGCTCCTTCCAGCAGTAGCATTCAACAAACAAAAACTAAGCCGAGTTAACTTCTCTCCCTCTGCTTCTTCACAAAACCCTGAAAATTCAGTGGAGCAGGAATCGAAATTTCCAAATCCTGACGAGACGAGACGAGACGCTCTCGATGGAAATTGGCGAGAGGGGCAGATTTCAAATCGAGACGTGGCTCCACTTTTTTAACGGCTAATTTAGCTGTCTCAGTTCTATTTCTGATCTCATTTATTTATTTTCTGTCAATTATATATTTATTTATTTAGTTTATTGTCGTTTCTCTGAAAATGGACGTTATGAAATTGACCAAGTAACAAAAATTGTTTTTAAATTATTAATACTCGTAAGTTCTAGTGTGTTTTGCTTTAAACAATGATTTTGTTTGTTTATTGCTAATATTATTTTTGATTAGAGGTATAGATAATTGTGTTGATATAATAAAAAATAAAATTTTAAATTAAAATATTAATTTATGCATATGATAAAATTTTAGTCTCTTCGTCCCAATACAATAGTCTTATTTACTATTTTTTTTCGTCTCAGAACAATAGTCTCATTTCCATAAATAATCATATCATCGTAAAACTATTCATACTTTTTCATTATTATTACACATTTGTCACTACTTTTTACACTAATATACTCACAAGGGGAAAAAATTTATTTATCCTTATTTTTACTAAGTAACAATATAATATCAATATTCTTTAAATTTCGTATCCAACACAATAAGGGTGTGTTTGTTTGGGGGTTTGGATTTTGAGTTGGGATATGAATAATAAAAATTTTGAATTTGAATAGTTGTATGATGTGATATAAATAGGTATTGATTTGATGTTTTAAATGTAAAATTGATTTTTAGTATAATATAAAAAAATGAAAAATAGGTGTTTGATTTGATATTTTTGGGTGAAAAAAATTGGATGAATAGTGTAAATCCAATTCAATCCCCCAAACAAACACACCCTAAGATTATACTTATGGGACGGATGGAGTATATAATAAAAATTGTGTTGAAAAAAGAATAACGGGATAAACATATCAAGTGTTTATTTTGAAAATTTTTAGGGTGTGTTTCTTTAGGGGTGTTATGGAGAAATTGAATTTGAGTTTGATTTTTATTTTGAATTTTTAGGTGTGCTTGAATTTATGTGTTTTTTTTTTTTGTGTAGGTTTAGTTTGGGTTTTGAGAGATTTGATATGTATTAATTTGACGAGTAATGAATATAATAATATAAACGTGGATTAATTTAAATTTTTTAAATTAATAATGGTATGATTTGATTATGAAATTATATTATATCAATATATTTTTAAAATTTTATTTATTCATATAATAAAAAAATTTATTCTCGACGTATACATTGTATATGTTTTATTAGACTATAATTATTGTAGTTATAGAATAATTATTGTAGTTATAGAATAACATATACAGGCACTACTAAAAAAACTGTTTTCTACTATGGCCGGAAAATCGTAACAAAAAATCATTTTTCGTGCAATTTGCGTATTTGCTACACCTTCTTTACGACTTTTTTCCGTAATGTGTACTCGCGTAACGAATGTTTTTTGCCACGCTATTTTTTGTAACTATTACTATCGGTCAACGCTCCCTAATGCAGGGTTTTTGTTACGCTATTTGTTACGAATTTCCTCTCGTAACCAAATGTCGATCCTTCCGGGCGTGTGTCAGAGCTTTTAGTTACGATATTTGTTACGAAAGGTCGTCGCGTTACAAAAACGTTCCTGTGATCGCTTGTCATATTTGGTAACGACATTGAACCCGTAATAAAAAATAAACTTTCCTATAGTCACGAAACAACTTGACACAACAAATATCCAAGAACCACTTTTTGTCACGGTATTTCATCCTTTTGTTACGCAGAAATATCATGCTATGAAAAATAGTAGTTACACTGCAATTGAAATTGTGCGTAACAAAATAACCTGCTGTGATCTCCCCATTACCGAAAGAAATTCCGTACACACATAATGCTATAAAGATCATCATTGGCAATACTTGTAAACATTAATTCATAGTAAAATCTGAATCCCAACATTAAGGCACATGGACAGCATAGTTTTTACTGGACAATCTCCATACCTAACAACGAAGTAAAGCAACTCATAAAACAAGCCTAACAAGCACTACACAACAACATCATGTTCCGCAAAACGGGCCTAACAGTTCAAACACCAAACCTAACAATAAGCAAGTACGTATATCCATCAATCCATAACTATATCTTTCACCACACGAATTAAAACTCCAATGGTCTATGCATCCATTCCACATATAGTTCACACAGCCTCAACACTATATCCATCCAAAAACAGGTACGACATACAATCCATAAGACAAACGAGACAACTAACATGGGTGAATCGGTAGATACGCTTCAGGGGCGGCGCATGGGCTGCAATTGCCAACACAAAGATTAGTTTAAGTCATATTTCTTATAAATTTTGGAAGGCAATACAAAAAAGGTATGAAAGTAGATCCGTACGTCCTTGTAGTTCCACTCAATAGGATCTTCACCAACGACATCGCGAAGGGTAGTCGCCCCAGCAATGGTCGGCAAAATAAGGGGTGTATCCGGGACTGAGGCGGATGTCACGAAGACCTTGACCAGGGAAAGTGTGTCACCTACAACATCTACAAGTGCAATCTTTGAGTATATTGAGCCGTATATATCAATAGACGTTCAAACTGTATGTATAACATGCCATAACACAGATATTAGAAGTGTAAAGCTTTGCAACTAGAACAATACGAGTATGTATATTTAGACATATTGTACAATACATGGTATTATATCCATGAATTAGGCACCAAAGCACATTATATCTTAATTTCCTATGTGATTGCAGCTCGATCTATAAACCAATCATCCTCCAATAAACAAATGTAAACCAACAATATCATGTACAATATCAAATAAATAAAAAAATTCAAAGTTCTATATCCATATGGCAACCCCCAAATGGGAGGGCTTCATGTATGTGTCGTAGTACTATGTCTCAATGAGATTAATTACCATTTATGCACTAAATACGAGCAGAAAAATATTACATTACATGCAGTTCTTGCCTTATGTCCACACAAATATTAGAAGTGGCAAGCATATGTTTTACCATTGTAATTATGAAAGGCAAATCTGATGGAAATTCATTAAGTATGCACTTTGAGTTAATTGTCAATGCATAGATGTGTTTTGAAATGATGAAATTGAATATGTTATTCAGTTGGTGCAGATCGATGAAGAGAGTTTCCCGTGCTGTAGGATAGAATTCATGGTGATGATGATTTCATGCCGACAAGGAACATGGGTCCTCTCTATGTTGATTACGCCCCAAGTAGAAACCCTTTAAAACAAATATGAAATAATTCTGAAATCTGATGGAAAAAAAATGTTTCAGATTCATGGGAATGCACTTAACACTTCATTGCACCACCCACCCAATAAACAAACATCACAGAAAAGTTTTTACACAGTGGCATAGCGTAAAAAACAAAGCAGACCTTTCGTTAAACTCAAAACTGGGTATCCTGAATGAGCACAACACGCCTGCGTTGATACACGGTCATTTCCTATAAAAAAACATAAGTTAAACATGCACTAATTTTCAATGAAAATGGCGCAAAGTACTAAATTAATTAAACATGCACTAATTCACAATATGCATTCTCTCTTTAGGACTGAATTAGAATCATATATACCACTTTTAGTATTATGTGATGATGGAGGGGCTGAAACTATATAACACCCTGAAGAAAACCTACAGCAGATTAGACCCCCTCCCCTGCTTTCTTCTTTATTTTCAAAATGGGCTTTCAATTATCTACTCAATTATACAACCTAAAAGGGTGAGTTAATCAATCAATCAATCAATCGTTGCAACCAAGCAAGCACATGTGGAGATTATATGCCGTCGAGGAGTGTGCAAAGCATCTATCTTTTCATCTTTAGTTCTAATCGAACAACTCTATTTAAAGAGAGCAAAGCATAGCACGCAACAAACATGAAATCTAGCAGTGTAGCTAGCTGGGATCCACAATCTTCCGAATTGAAGATCCCACACACAAGTGCAGACAGATGCAGAAAACCAATGAAGCAATGCCGTGCAGAGACCTCCACAAAAAAGCGAAATCAGTGAGGTTTAGAAGAAAATGAAGAAGACAAGAAGCAATCTATTAAGATCCATATCATATGCAGCACGACTGTACAGTTCAATGCATCTCTTTTCTATGAACCAAAAAAAGAAAAAAAAGCACAGACAGATAAGGTAAGGATAGAGTGTCACAACTTCAGTACTGAAGTAGAGTAAAGACAAGCAAATCCCGAGTTGAAGGAGAGGGCGTGGCCCTGCGTACATAGCAGCCCTAGTTAAGTCCAAGCACAGTAAACACATAATCCAAAGGAACTTCTATATAGATTTGAAAATACTAATAAATTCTCAAAGTTCAGTTTCTGCTCCGGCTCCTGGTTCTACGCCTTTCCCTAATGTCATCGTTGCATAGTAGAAACAAATGCAAACATAAGTGGAATGCTAGTAACATAATCATGGATGCATCAAACATGATGACAGTTTAGCAATCGATCATTGGGTACATAACCAGTAACTAGCAGTGATGCAAGATATGACAATTTAACAGATCAAATCGGCGCTATCGAAATTTCTTATAAGTCAATCGTTCACATAGTAAGCAAAGATAGCAAGTATGCAAATAACACCTACTTATGACTATTTTACAGCTTTCAACACAACCCTACTGCTGTTTATGCAACTCCAGATTGAAGTCCATTACACAAGTCGGATCTACATGTGATAAAATTACACCATTAATAAATCAAACTTCACACCATCCGATAAACCAGGACATAGTAGTTTGTTTCTATTTTCCTAAATGTTTGCCCACTATGCTGGGTGACAATTTAAGCTTGTATTTAATATAAATTTCAGGTAGAAAACATATGAGAAAGCTAAGAACAGTCATTTACAAACCCAAAAGGAAAAAGGTAGGAACTTGCTTCAAAGAGACATTTTCAATGCGCACGCAACATCACAGAGCACTTAAACAATCTGCCTGCTAGTTCTCTAACACAAGAATACGTTATCCTACCAACTAACCACGTTCTGTTTATCACACACAAGCCATACAATTCCCAATACCACCTGAGAAAGAAGAAGAATATTACGACGCCCTATTTCGATTTCTCCTTACAGAGGACGCGGCGAAGAACTGTGGATCGATCCTCATACTACTCGAGATAACTTAAAAATATTACCTGGATGCCGGCTCCGATTAACATCCTAGATCCCACCTTCGCCCACTACGTCGCGTCTGCTGAGTGAGAAATCGCGTCGATAAGGAGAAGAACGAGTTGTGCCCTAACTTTCCGAAATTCGCTAAGTGTGAAATCTATTCGGCACGGAGGAGGGGAAGAAGAAAGCCCACTCATGTGGCCCTGAAATCGTTCTTAGTTTTCCAAAAGCGCTATAGCGTTTTTACCTTTTTTTAAATCCAAAATATCTTTTAAAATTAAAAAATAAATTTAAACACCATTTGTAACGAAGCAAAATCGTAACTAATGTTATTTTGAACAAAGTCTACCAACTCCGTTTTTGTTACGGATTATTTTGCATAATTAAAGAACCTGAAACGTTGACCAAGAAAATATTTTTTGGTCACGGAAGTTGTCGTAACAAAAACCATTATTTGTTACGATGTTATTGTAAAGAACCGTTGAGCCGTGGTCAAAGACCATTTTTTTGATAGTAAGGGTTGTACACAGTTGTAAATATCAATTTTGTTTTTTTTAAAAAAAAACAACTGTTGTACTGCATATTGTCAGTGAAGAAAGAGACATGGAGGGTTTGAAGTGAATTCACTGTGCAAAGTGAATTTTCTCGAACCTTGAGAAACATACTCTTAGTTTATTTATAATTTTTATAGAAATATTTTATTTTATTAAATTTATACTCTCTGTCCCATTGGATTAAAGTAAAAAAAAAAAAGAAAATAAAAAGACAAAAAAAGACAAAAATACTCTTATTAGTATGGTGTAATATAAAAGTAATGACATTTGTGTAATATATTGTAAGTTGAAAGGGTATTTATTATGTTAATAGGTAGTACAGTTACTAAATTAGGAGGGACGGAAATGAAAAATGATACAGATGGAGTATTTAATTTATTTTTAAAAATAAACAAGAAAATTAATTCAGAATATCTATGTATCCTTAATTTTTAGTTAAAAAACTATCTTCAAAATTTATATTTATCTTTTACGTCATAGTATTTAATATTAAAAATATTTTTATATTTGTATAATTTTTTTTAATTTGTACTATATTTTGATAAAATAATTAATATTCAAAAGACCAACATGCAAAAACTAAAAATAAGCCTCCAAACGAAAGATTATAAATTATCTAATTTTTTAATTTAAAATATAGGTTAATTTCACTTAAATACTCAATTGCAATCAAACTTTCAAATAATTCTTTACTTTAATTTTATTTTAATTAACTTTGTTGATGCAATTTTTCAACAATTAAAAGTAAAATCCGAAAATATGAAATTATCTTCGAATTTGATAAAATGAATGTCTGAGATTAGGAATCCTAAGCACTGTAGGATACATAGATAAACTAGGGAAATAAAAAAACTACAGACTGGAAAAATAAAGTGGTGATCCCCAAAAGCAATTCTCTTGAATTTGATTTCGATTGAAGATGCTTTCTACAATAAATCCAAATCCTTAAATGTTCCTTCAAGAAAACGTTTCAGAACCGTCGCCTGGTTGGTTACAGCAACCGCCCGCTAATTCCTCCTTCATTGACACATGTCTTTAACTGTCTCGCCAACCGCATAACCCAACCGACCAATTTAGAGACTAACTGATCGCTAGACCAAACGACTCCTTGGCCGCCCCACGAAGCGACCACCATCTGGTCTCTTGTCCGACCTCGTATCGTCCGTGTCATTCTTCTTCGCCCGACCTCACTTGGTCCAACCTCCGTATCAGCCGACATCTGTTTCAGCCGACCCCGTATCAGCCGACCTCCGTATTCTCTGACCTCTGTCTTCGCCCGACTTTAGTTGGTCCGACCACGGACCAACCGACCGGCCCACCCGACTGCGAACCATCCGACGGCGAACCAACCGACGGCGGACCAACCGACTGCAAACCAACCGACGGCAAACCAACCGAACGCGGACCAACCGATGGCAAACCACCCAACGGCCGTATCAGCAGACCTCCGTATCAGCCGACCTCCTTCTTCGCCCGACCTCATTTTTTATCCGAGCTACCATTATCCTTATTATTATTATTATTATTATTATTATTATTTGTACGTAATAAACTTAATAATCTTTCCATAAAAATACTAAAAACAACTAGTCAAATTGATAAAATACCCCTTTACTTACTTTAAATCCTAAGTGTTTCAACCATTTCCTACTCTACACCTCATTGCAATATTAATTTACAATATGTAATGACTCTATTTACACAATAATTTTGAAAATTTGATGTTATTTATTTTTTAAAAAAATATTACTCCATCCGTTTATTTCCTTGACACACAAGTCATCGTTTCTCTCCATCAATTTCTCTTCTTTTCGGCTATCGGAGTCGAGTGTTTTGAAAATTTGATTTTGATTTGGCTTTAATAGAATTTCGGTAGCATTTGATTTGAAAATTAGGGACCTTAGGGTCTCAAGATAGGACTTTGTTTCGAAGAGGAAGTTAAATGTAATTTTTAAACCATAATTTTCAATTTACAATCGATTTGATTTAGATTTATGGGATACGAATATAGATTAGGGTATAGAATTTTGTAAGTTTAAAACAAATTGGAAAGAATCTTCATTCCTATTTCCATCCAAGTTAATATTTATAGTGGTTTACTTTGTTCACTCTTGATCAAATCATTTTTGCTCACTTTTAAGAGATTTTAGTTGCAAATATATGGCTTTAGGAAATCTTATGTCCTATAGCTCTTTAGATTATTGAATTATGATACTAGTTATTAATGAGTTATAACAGTTGCCTAGTGTTGGATAGATATGTTTTAACTTAACTTGTAAATATGCATTTAGAAACACTTATTCTCTACATTTACACTACCAAAAAAAGGGCTATTCACCACGGGTTGAGAGTCCGTAACAATAAAATCGTAACAAATAGATATATTAGTTACGACAAAATCCGTGACGAAAAAAAAAAAACCCGGTCAACGTTTTAGGTTCTGTCGTTACGCAAAAAATATCGTAACAAATAATGAGATGGTAGAATTTGGTCAAAATAACATTAGTTACGTAAAGTGTTCGTAACTACTGGTATTTAATTTTTTATTTTTGGAAAAGTTAAATTAAAAAAAAAAAAAAAAGTAAAATACTGGATTGACGCTTTCATTCCAGAAACGATCAAAATGGACAAAAACGCTATATCATCCCACACTTAGACAAATTAGGGCATCTGGTTCATTTCCCTCGTTCGCTTCTCACAGTCGCCCGCGATCCGATTTCCTGTAGCAGCCGACGACGACGCGCGAGGTGAAATCGATCCGTCCCTGGGATCTACTCCGGCGCACCTCACCCAGGTAAGGTTTTGAAGGTAGCTCGAAAAAGATTTTGTATTACGCGAGGTATCTTCGACAAATTAGGGCATAATCTCATTTCTCCCTTGTAGAAAACTCGATCGAGTTTCCTTCCTCTGAACCTGCAGGACGACGAGCATTGTGAAATCAACGGAAACGAGGGATCTACTCCGGCATCTAGGTAAGGTTTTTAAGTTTTCTCCCGAAAGATTTGGTATTACTCCAAAGTTCTTCGCCTCTTTCTCGGTATGGATATAGTCTTACATTTTAACTCCATTTGTTTGGGCTTTATCGTGTGTTACATTTGAGGTGAATTTGTATTCCTTTGTCCAGAAGGAGAGTTTTTTTGGTTGAATTTATTTTTTTGATATTTATCTTTAATTTATAGTTAAACACCAAGTGCAATGCTTTACTGTATGTTAAATTTATGAGGTATTTCTTTGTTCTGGTAGCTTAAATGTTATATTAAAACATATTAGCTCAATCCTCTTGCTAATTTGTTCAGAATACAAAGTAATACATTACGTCAGGAAACTTAATTCGGCTGTTGGGAAGCATTTAACAAGATTTATGAATTGCGAAATACCTCAAGTTGCATGCTTCTTGAATTGCAGTTCAGTTTTCTGATCGTAGGTAATTTACTATCAGATTTCGTTATCCTGCATTTGTAGTATGCGTATACACATACAGTCACCCATACATATATTCATTATAGCATTTCTATAAATTAAGGATAAAATCCAGGGCTTATTTACACTTTGCATTGAGAGTAGGGAATAGAGAGTAGAGAGTAAAGGATGAGGGCGAGAGTAGTAATGTGAGAAGAAGATGATGCAAATGCAGTTTTGGTGGAAACAGATACAGTGAATCTTGTGGCTTTGGTGCTGTGTACTATTCCTATTTGTATCCCTCTAATTGGGGTAGAGAGCCATTTCTGTACCTCTATATATATATATATGTATATCTATCTCAAAATTCTTATAGTACACGTCTTCCATCTCAATCTCCATCTTCCAGTCCCATATAGATAGATAGATAGATAGATATAGTGGTTGCAGCATACACACGGATGTCCCCCCCATGCTCCCCATGTCTTGTCAATTTCAGAAACTTTTTTACTTCTTTCTCACTCTCTCTTGCTGCTGATGTGTCTATTTGTGACGGCCCAGCATTTGTGACGGGAAATATATCCATATAATACTATTTACATTGCATCTATGGAAGATTTTTAAGTGGTGAGGGCTGCTGATTTTGGTCCATGTGCCTTAATGTTGTGATAAATTATAATGCTAGCGTCATGAAGAGCATCCATGTTTCCTATTATATCGGTGAAGGTTATGTTGTACTTATATGTTTTTGGTTGCATGTTTTGTTGATGGAATCGCATGTATATTATATTGCTAGATGGATAGGAGTTGGATAGACGATGCGAACCATATCTCCGCTCAATATTTGGACGGGGTCAGGGCTTTCTTAGATTTCGCATTTAAAGATCGTAGCTCTGAATCTTGCATCTATTGCCCCTGTACATCTTGCGGAAATCGCTTAACAAAATCTCGTAGAGATGTCTTGCTCCATTGTATTCGTTATGGATTCGACCAAACCTACAAGGTTTGGACTTGCCACGGAGAAGGAGAGGTGAACCCTGCTGTTGCAAACGACAATATGCCAATGCGTTGGGAGGAGGAACTAGAACTTCTATTACGAGAGTGTGCATATACAGAGCACACCGATCCGGGGCCCAGTGGAAATGAACCTCATAGGGATGACGAAAATGAACATATACATCATGGCAGTAAGGGGTATAGAAAGATGTTAGAAGATGTAGAGAAAGAGCTCATACCAGGGTGCAAGAAGATGAGTAGACTCTCGTTTATCGCACGGCTTTTGCACTTGAAGGTTTTGTGCCACTGGTCTAATAATTCTATTGATTTGCTGTTAGAGCTGTTACGGGATGCACTTCCAGACGATGTTGTCCTTCCGAAGAACTTCTATGAGGCTAATAAGCTGACCAAGGACTTGGGGTTCACATGCAAGACTATCCATGCGTGCATCAACAATTGCATGTTGTTTACCGGGGAAGATGTTGACCGTGAGGTTTGTGTTGTGTGTGGGGAAAAGCGATTTACACAGGGTAAAGATAGATCTCCAGTGAAGAAGTTAAGGTACTTTCCATTAATTCCGCGATTGCAGCGATGGTACGTATCTTCCAAAACTGCATCTTCTATGAGATGGCATGCCGAAGGGCGTGTAGACGATGGCAAGATGCGTCATCCAGCAGATAGTCCTGCGTGGAAGAGTTTCGATCATCGGTACTCGACGTTCTCTTAGGAGATTCGCAACGTACGCCTCGGTCTGGCCACTGACGGTTTCAACCCTTTTGGGAATATGAGTGTGAGTTATAGTATTTGGCCCGTCGTACTTGTGATATATAACCTACCTCCGTGGCTGTGCATGAAGCAACCATCGTTCATCCTCTCTACGATTATAGACGGCCCGCATGGCCCGGGGGATCGGATTGATGTCTTCCTTCAACCTTTGATCGATGAGCTTAAGGAGCTTTGGTATAATGGTGTTCGGACGTACGATGCGAGTACTAAGGAGGATTTCCAGATGCGAGCTGCATTGCTGTGGACTATTAGTGATTTTCCCGGTTACGGTATGTTGTCAGGGTGGCCGACTCGTGGGGCGAATGCATGCCCTGTTTGTGGTTTAAAAACTCATTCCAGATACCTGAAAAATGGACATAAGTATAGCTATTGCGGGCATCGACGGTTCCTGCCGGCTGGGCATAGAATGCGCTTTGATAAACATGCATTTGACGGTTCGATGAGCTTTGACGGAAAGCCTTCTCGCTTGACCGGCGCTGAACTTCTGCAGCAGCTTCAGGATATGCCTACTGAGTATCGTACGGTTGACTTGATTGAGAAACGCATTGCACAGGGGTCTCGCAAGCGTCGCCGGGGGGTGGACGGGCAGCAACAGGTGTGGAAAAAAAAGAGCATATTCTTTCAGCTCCCTTATTGGTCTGAGAATGAGGTACGTCACAACCTCGACTTGATGCACATTGAAAAGAATGTGTGTGAGAATGTACTGTATACATTGTTGGGAACTAAGGGGAAAACAAAGGACAATCTGAACACGAGGAAAGACTTACAGTTGATGCAAATACGTAGTTCTTTACACCCGGTATCGGGTCCTAGGGGCGCTATATATTTGCCGGCAGCTACGTACACCATGAGTAACCCCGAAAAACGGATATTCCTATCTGTGTTGAAGGACCTCCGACCACCTCATGGGTTCAGTTCAAACTTATCGCGTCGTGTGAAGGTAGAACAACAACTAATATGGGGACTTAAGAGCCACGATTGCCATGTTCTTATGCAACGAATTCTACCTATTGCTGCCCGACGGTATACCCTTGAAACGCAATTATTTTAATTAACATGATATATGCCTCCTCTAAATATAACTGAAGGTGCTGATTCAACACTTCCTGTAGGTGTCTTCCCAAAAATGTTGTGCTCGTGTTGATTGAACTTTGTAACTTCTTCAATTCGATGTGCTCAGCTCATAACACAGTTCGTGAACTGGAGCGAATCCAAGAAAGAATTTCTTTGACGCTATGCCATCTTGAAAAGCTATTCCCACCTTCATTCTTTGATGTAATGGAGCATCTGCCTATCCATTTGGCTGAGGAGGCTATGGTGGCCGGTCCGGTGCAGTACCGGTGGATGTATCCCATTGAGCGGTACTTGGGTACTCTGAAGAGGTACGTACGGAACAGGGCACAACCTGAGGGTTCGATTGCACGTGGATACCTCATGGAAGAATGCGTGACTTTCTGCTCAAGATATCTCGGAGACATAGAGACCAAAGAGAACTGGGCTGCTCGAGGGGAGGAGGACGGGACACAACACGGGAAAGGATTGTTTGGTTCTAGGTTCAATCTTGATTACAATACGATGCACCAAATTCATTGCTACATCCTAGGAAATATAGATGAAATCAGTCCGTTGCGAAGGTTTTTTCACATCAATTTAACAATACTTGTATGCGTATCCGACCTGTGTTGAATATCTTCGACTTTTATTTTTGCACTGTAGGATTCACCTTGATACTATTAGGTCATGTCGAACTCGCGCACCCCCACGTGAGGTGCACCAGCAGCACAACGAACAATTTGCGTCTTGGTTTCAATCATATGTGAGTACCGCCTACATCGTCCGTACGTGGTATCTTGACTACACTCCCAAAAAACATTGAAATCACGAGTGTTCATGAACTACTTTACATCAAATGTAGGTAGATGATCCGACGAATAATGATGAGTGCCCAATCTCAGCGGAGATCCGTGCATTGGCGGGTGGACCATTATGCAATGCAACACGGTACTCTTCGTGCATTGTGTCAGGAATACGCTATCGTGTTCAAGACCGGGATGCAAGGAAGAGGACACAGTGTGCAGGTGTTATGGTTACGGCAGATACAGTGAGTTATGCCTCAGCTAGGGACCATAACCCACGAGAAGGTTCCGTGGCATATTACGGGATTCTTACGGACATTGTGGAAGTGTACTATAGCAATCAACAGAAGTATCTCCTTTTAAAATGTGACTGGGTGGATCTGGAGAGGGGCGTTAAAGAGGATGAGTTCAAATATAAATGTGTGAACTTTAAGTATTTGATGTACCCCAAGAACTTGCCCACGGATGAGCCTTTCATCTTAGCGACCCAAGCCTCTCAGGTGTGGTACATTGCAGACCCGGTTGATGAAGGTTGGAGCGTTGTCGTTCCGGTGTCACGGCGAGACACGTATGACGTGTATAGTACGATCGATCATAGATTCAGCACAGGGTTACCTTTAGATGACGGAGGCAATGTTAGAGGAGCAGCCGATTACTGGCTAAGGGAAGGTATTGAGGGGCAAGTAGTAGAAGATGCAGGGCAGATGGACCATGCCGATACTTCGCCTTCGGATTCGGAGGAATCCTCCGAAGATGATGGTGCTTAGCGCAGAATCAAATAAGCGGGCATTTTTGGTAGTATGCGAATATAGCCTAATTGGCCCATTTTTGATGGTTTGGCAACCACGCAACCTTTTTGAGTTCGCAGTTCAGAATAAATTACACATCTCAACAGATGGTCATCTATGTGGGGAGGGGGGGTCGGTGATTGAAGTACGTAATAGGTAACCACTTTCGGACATGCATGCCATCGTTCATAGGCCCTGTTTTCGCTTGATTTGCTGAAGCACTTTGCATCCATTATGCGCGCGCAGGATGTTATGATTTTTTCCGAATATGTCAACGCGGATAAGCTCTTTACCCCCCTTTGCGTATGCTGAAGCAATTTACCCTGATTAATTGCAGTAACTATTATGTGAATTTCTCGTAATATGTCACTTCATAAGCTTTGTTGTGATAAGTGTGTTTTGATTTTCTCCTAATATACGTTTTCATACTGCCAACTAACACTGGTGTCTTGCAGGTTATGGGCAAATCTCAACGTGCTGCCGTTGGAGGGTCACAGGATCCGGCAGTCTCTCCCGCAAGACGTTTTACCCGGGCATCCGCACGTAACAGCCCCCTAGAGGCAACTCATCCCGCAAGCAGGAATCCATCGCCCATCCGCAATCCCACAAAGAAAGTGACAAAACGGAAGGGATCTCGGGTCTCGCCACTGCTCCAGCAACTCCGGTCCATCACATCAGAGTGGGAGAAAGAGCGCGATGCTCGTGGTCAAAGCATGAAGCCAACATCTTCCACTCGAAGGGCAGTGCTTCAGGATTCAGAGGGCCCTTTGGAGGTAATGTGGTTCCTTTGCCGAAAGCATGTCCTTATTTGAACTCTCAGTATAACACTACAATAGGCTGACACTGTTAACCCCAACAGGAACATGATGATAGGGATGTTCCATCACTTTTTGATCCGACGGCACTGACACAGGATGACGATGATACAATCCCCCCCACACAAGCAGATGACGAGACACTTCCGCCGACGCAGGACATGGAGACTGCAGAGAGTGATATGCCACTCTTGGATGAAGGGCCAGGCTCCGACCCCACTCTGATGACAGGAACAGAGGCGGGCAATATGGCACCACTGGACGAGATGACATCGCACGACGGTTTGGAAATTAGCCTTCAAAGATTACCGATTACATTTAGTGACTTCATATTTTGCATGTAATATCCTTATTAGAACATGTAATCTCCTGTTTGTGTCAGCTGGTTCGTCAAAGAAAAAGCAGGGGAGAGGGGCGGCACGAATGCCGCGTGGATGGGGAAAAGATCACAGGATGCTTGTATTCACATCGCCGGATGGTAAAAGCATCGTCGGACCCGACGTAAACGAGTACAAGACCGCCATTGGGGTCATTGCACGCAACGGAGCTCGACTTTCTCTACATTACCCCACGTTCGCTGAGATACCGGAGACGAAGAGACAGGGTGCATGGATGGAGGTTCAGGTGATGCAAACTTCATTAAATTGAAAGTTCTTTTATTTCATATAGATTCTTATATATGGCCCTACCATCTTCTCCGGACCTGGTGGAAACCGTGTGAAACGGCATTCCAGAGTAACAGCGGATTACCAGACTCAGCGGAGAAAGTGGTCTTGGCTGACCTAAGGGAAGTTTGGAGGCACTGGAAATACAGCATCAAATCAACTTACTTCAATCCGATCGAGGACGATGAAGAAGCACTGAAGAAGGTTCCCTCAAGCAGGATTGTGCCCGATCAGTGGCCGAAGTTGGTTGAGTATTGGCGCGACGAGAAGGTGAAGGTACGCATAGGGACATGCCAAATTAATATACGTTAAATCTGCACGGGCATGGACTGAGAACTAAATAACTTTGATTGACGTAGCTTCAATCCAAGAAAAATGCGTCGAACGTAGCGAAAAGAAGCTTTCCACATCGTACTGGGCGGAAGTCATTCACGACTCTGGCAGAGGAGGTACCTTTTATTACAATTAAGTAATTAGTCATGTCATGCTCCATCCCCATATTTTCCTCTCCTGTATTTCATTATGTTTTCGATGACAGAAGGCCTTGTATTGCTGCAGATCAAGGCAAAGGGGAAGGACCCCGACAATCTGGAGATTTGGATTTCCAGTCGCACACAAGGCAAGGGAAAGGATGACCAAGAAACCGAGGAGATATTGGTAGAATAAATTCGTTCCCAACTTAGTTACAATTCAGTCAGTATTTACATCTCTAACAACAAGAGCAAGTTCGGCCTCACTTAAATCTTTCCTGTAGACTTATTTACAGAATGAGCTAAACAAGGTTCCCCCTGAAGGGCGGACTCCCTCTGTTCGGGAGACTCTGTACCGACGGGCCCTTGGGGGAAAGATTAAGAAGCGGTCAAAGGTCGACAATGCGGCAAGTTCAGCTCATCCCCGCAGCGAGTCAACTGGTTTAACAGACAGTGTAGCATTCCAGCATGGGTGGGAACAACTACAGAATGGAATGGAGGAGCTGAAGGCAATGATGGATGAGTTCAAAACCATCAAGGCTGATGTGTATGCATTCATGCACAGAAACTCCGGAGCGGTTACTGGCCAGGCAGTAAGTATTCATAATCCCTGACCTGTTTGGTATGAGTATCCCATGAGATTTGGATGGCGAAGGAATTTACCATCCTCGGCATGTTATATGATAGGGCACATCTCGTATTGATTCAGTCCCTGAGATTCCCAGGCCTGTGTCCGAGCCAAGCATGACGGTATGATTCCGTGACGCCCTGGAGTTTCTTAGAAATCAGTGCAGTGTCTAATTTAGGCTACTCTTGACTGCGTACTACCTTATCCAACTCATATGCCCTGTCTGTTGTAGGTCGGCACACATGTGCTTCTATTATCCCGCACCGGTGAGAAAAAAGTTGTTGCAGAGGGACTTCTGCTCTGCCCCCCTGGGCCAGGTTGGTCCGGTATCTTTGAGGATGTTTAATTAAACTTTTAATATGCCTCAGCGAGATATCGTAGGTTTTCGTGACTGTTCAGGCCTCATATTGCGTATTAGCATGGATTCACTAAGTGTAGAAGTATACAATGAAACGATCCGTGGATTTCCAAAGCGATGTAGACTGTTAATGTAGGGGTGGTAAAATAACTGCTATTATGACGACCCATGTTTATTGAAGGATGTTTGGTTTAAAGATCAAGCTGCAATTACATAGGAAATTAGGGTATAATGTGCTTCGCTACCTAACTCATGAATGTAATACCATGTACTGTACGACATGTCTGAATGTACGTACTCCTCTTGTTCTAGTTCCAAAGTATTACACTTATAATGTCTGTGTTATGACATGTTATATATACAGTTCGAACGTCTGTTGATATATATGCTTGAATGTAATCAAAAATTGCTCTTGTGAATGCTGTAGGTGACACACTTTCCTTGGTCAAGGTCTTCGTGACATCCGCGTCAGTCCCGGACACACCCCTTATTTTGCCGACCATTTCTGGGGCGACTACCCTTCGCGATGTCGTCGGCGAAGATCCTATTGAGTGGAGCTACAAGGACGTAAGGATCTACTTTAATACCTTTCTTGTATTGCCTTCCGAAATTTATAAGAAGTATGACTTAAAGTAATCTCTGTGTTGGCAATTGCAGCTCATGCGCCGGGCTTGAAATGTTGGTACCGATACACCCATGTTAATTGCCCCGTTTGTCATATGGATTGAATGTCGAACCTGTCTTTGGATGGATTGTGTTGAGTTTTTGTTGAACTATGTCTGGAATTGATGCGTAGACCTTTGTGGTTTGAATTCGTATGGTGAAAAATGTGCCTAATGGGATTGATGGATAACCGTATTTGCTTATTGCGTTGTTTACTTGTGTTTGAACTGTTAAGCACGTTTTGCGGAACAGGTTGTTGATGTGTAGATACTAGTAGGCTTGTTCTATGGGTTGCTTTACTTTGTTGGTAGGTATGGAATTCAGATTTTAATATGAATTAATGTTTGCGCGGGGCGTAATGATGATGATGTTTATAGCAATCTTTGTATTCGTAATTTATTTTCGTATCATACGCATCACAGCAGGTCCATTTGTTACGAACAATTTCAATTGCAGCGTACCCCCTGTTTTTCACAATACGCTATTTTTCCGTAACAAAAGGCCAGAAAATCGTTACAAAAAGTGGTCTTCGGATATTTGTTGTTACAGACGGTTTCGTGACTATAAGTAGGTAATATTTTTTTTACGGGGTTCAATGCCGTTACAAATAGTCGTAACAAAAACCAAGTTCTGACAACCGGTCAATGGAAAACACTTGTAACGCGAGGAACTTCCGTAACAAATACCGTAACTAAAAGTCCTGCCACACGCGCGGAAGGATCTACCTTTCGTTACGAGAGAAAATTCGTAACAAACATCGTAACAAATACCATACTTCAGGGAGCGTTGACCGATCGTAATAGTTACGAAAAGTGGCGTGGCAAAAAACATTCGTTACGCGAGTACACATTACGGAAAAAAGTCGTAACAAAGGCGTAGCAAATACGCAAATTGCACAAAATATGGCTTTTTGTTACGATTTTCCGGCCGTAATAGAAAACAATTTTTTTGGTAGTGTTAGTTTCTAAAATTTATCTCTTTCATTCATACTATAGTTGGACTGTAAAGTTACAAGAAACTCAAGTAATAATAATTTTGTATGTTAGGACAATACATGGATTGTTTTTTAGTATTTCATTTCTATTGGCTCAAAACTTAAACGTGTGAGAGAGATTGAGGGGTAGATCAATAAAAATAAATAATATCATCTGTATCTCGCATTATATTTTGAGATATTTTTTTATTGTATACAAGCTTATAATGTATTTGATTGTAATTGTGAATATTAGCTATTAAATATATTATCTTCTATTTTAAATTTAAAAGAAATATAATTTCAAAATGTTAAAATATGTAAAGATCTTAATTCAATATCAATCTATATATTTTATATTTCAAGAATATGTCAATATTGAACTTTAAATGAACTTTATCCAATTTTGAGTTTATGTATGTTGTCCACAAAGACACTAAATGAAGTACTTTGAATCTAAAAATTTGAAACCATTTGTTGTGTTCCGAGCTTTTATTTATGTGCACCGGTAAACTTAGATGGCAAGGAGATTGTTGTTTGAAGTTTTCCATTGTTTTTTTTATCATTCATATTTACTTAGTACAATTGCTTTCCTCATAGATCTATAAGATTATGTGTACTATTATAGTTTATAACCTTTCATTTAATCTGTTTATCCTCTCTCGCGATCTCACTATTATAGGTGTATTATTAGATTATCAAAGGGATTCTTAAATTCCTTGAAAATAGGGAATGTGTTTATTGCATGTGAAGTAAGTATTGATTTTCTGACTTTACCCTATTTGTATATGGTATGAAACCAAGTAAATTTGTTGCTAACAATGTTAGAGTTATTATGTTGTTATGCTCGTGCAAATCTTTAATGTTGCGAAATATTTAAGGAGAACGGTGAGAAATGTGACCAAAATGTCCATGCGGCAAATATGATTTACTAAAGGTTTCTAGAAGTGTTAACGATTCAGGTAGATTATATTACAAATGTAATCCTTGTGATAATAGTTAGGTTGAGAAGATACAAGAGTTTGAAATGAATAAAGAGAAATCATTTTACACTGGTGATTCAATTGCAACATCACAACATCCGCATGCGAGTATTGCATTTCGATGTACGTGTTTAAACTATAGAGAGAAAAGACAAAGAGAAACATCTTAATGCTATGTCTTCTAATGTTGGCTAATTTAGTTATTGTTGTACTAATGTTTATTTGTCTTTTATTACTTTTGACATTAATAAACCCATACATGCTAAATGAAATTATAACAACCAATATAATTGAATGGCCGATAGATAGGAAGCATAATATTGATTGCAATCAAATGTACTCCAACTCCATATGCACTACATTGCTTTCAAATTTGAAAGCAAAAGCAAAATAAATCAAAAATTCAAAGAATGTGCTATTTTATTCAACCAAGATTCAGAAGAAAATCAAGATTGAAACCAAATAACAAAACATTTGAATAGAAATGAAATCAATAGTTCAAGATTCATCCTAGTTTGAAAACTGAAACCCCGAAAGATCAAATTAACACACCTTACCAAAATACTATAAAAGAAGCCAAATAGGAGGGTTTTCTTACCTTTCAAGAGTTGAAAATCTTAAAGAACCCTAGCAGCACGACGAAGGTACTTCCACCATAATGATTTTATGTTTTATGATTAATTATCATGTTACAAATTTCCGTTTCTATCATTATTAGCTCAGAAATTAGGGATTTTGATTTGATAAAATGAATATATTACAATTCCTTTTTTTTTTTTTAGCTATATATATTTATATCTTGCTGTGGCATGCTTTATAAAAATTCGAAAACTTGTGGTTCATGCACTATTCAAGTATCTATTAGGTTTTCTTGAATAAACAAATGGTTATTAAAATTTACAAACAATAGAGAGGGAGCTCTATCCAAATAAAAATTATTGGTGTAAAAATCTATCCAATGAACAAGGATAATACAATACATGGCCATAGAGTTTGTAGGCCATTTTCCTTTTATCATGTATCCTAATTATTTCCAGAATCACACATATTTCATCATTCCATACATGCATACGACGAAAATGACATTTCAAAACCCGACCCGAAGAATCTAAATTTAACTCCGCCAAAGCAAAAGTAAATGAAAATTCAAAGCAACGCGAGGGATAGCACTTTAATGGGATTTTGCAGATTGAAAACGGTAGAGGACTCTCCTTTGGAGATGCCATCAAGCTGCTCGAGCACTTTATTGTAGTTGGTTTAAGTCTGGTAATGCTTCTGCTGGTGGAGCTGGAAGAGCTCAGCGCTAGCTAAATCTGAAGACGACGAAGCTGAAGCCGTGCAAGCAATGGCGAAGATACACCAAAAGAAGATGACGGAAAAGAGGAAAAAGAGGGGGAAAAAGAAGAAGGAAGCAGAAGTGGGGCTTTTTAAATAAATGTCCTAAGTCAAAAACTTTTTTTTAAAAAAGTAGACTTTAAAGTAGTTTTAAAAATTATTTAATTTTAACCAAGCGAACGCCGGAAAAGTGTGAATTTAGGATTTTATTTTTTTTTAAAAAAATTATATTAATATTTTAACTATTTTTTATGTAATAGAATTTTAATTTTTGTTTATTTCGAGAGTTCGTGTGTAGGGACTCTACTAATGTTTATAAAAACATTTAGCTAGGGATTGTTTTTGTTGGTTTTGAATATTTGTGTGTGGGAATGTATAGGCTTATAAAGATATTAATAACGGATTTAATTTGTTGCTAAGCCTGTCGCAAATCCTTAAGGGATTTATATTCCCTCGTAAGGTTTCGTCGCTAAATTAGAATTTTTTTTGTAGTGATACGTGTGATAATCAAGTATGCAAACATGAAACACCAACTTGTAAGACCATGAACAAGCTGCTTCTGATTTGAATTAGCTAGCTTATAATTATAAATTTCTAATTGGAATTCAATTTTACAAATAGGGAAACTGGAATGATGCCTGCTCTTTGTATAAGCAAGCTATAGCAATTGAGATCTTTCAAAGTTTTTTTTTGCTCTTTTCCTTTTCCTTTTTCTTTATATTCCCTCCGTCGTTCAAATGTATGCTCATTTGACCGAACACTAAGTTTTGATAAAATTGAGTAATAATTGTTACTTTTTCCTTTTATAAAAAAAAAAATAGTACAAAAGTGTAATGATTTTTACTCAAAAAGAAAACGAAAATATTTTTTGATAACAATTCGAAGAGCCCGGGACAAAAAATAAATATGGGCCGTTAAATATATATAAATAATATAGTTTTATTTATAATAAAATATAAATAATTAAATAAAATAATTTTCTTAGAATTTTTAAATCAAAAAATATTTTTAAATATTTGAGACATATATGATTTGAACTTAAAGATCTCAATATTAAAAATTAATCTACACCACCAAACTACAATCCTTTCTATTTATATATATCAAATAAATTATATATATATATACATATAAATTATACATATATAACATAAATATATAATGGGCCCCTGTTTACCGTGGACTCTGGGCAAGCGCCCCTCCCGCCTGGGCGAGCCGGCCTTGTATGAATTGAGTTCTTGTGTTTGATGAAGTAGGTCTGACAATATTATATGTTGTTGATCTGAAAATATACTTTGATTAATGCATATAAATGCTTTTGCTTTTAGGTGAAGCTTACTAATGCTCATTTGCCTTAGAGCACGTACATTGGTGGGCAGGTTAAAAACCTTCATTTGCTTACGTGCATCTTACGTGTCAATTCTAATGTGATATATGTATCGATTTTTCCAAAAAAACATAGTAGCTCTTTTCTTTCGGTCCTTGGTAATTCTTTCTCGCAATATTCCTCACACACAATATTCACACCCAATCGTCACCAAATCTTTCATCCCAACCGGCGATTTTGTTGTAAAAAATCCAAACACAAAATCTTAAACCTTAACTAAAACAATCGATTCAAATATCTCTGACATCAAGAAAAAAAGAATAAAAAAAAAAATAAAAGCAGAACCGTAAAAACAAGAAATTACTGCAAAGTTTACCATACCTCCGTCGTCATTGAAGAAAATCGTTTCATCCACCGGGCATAGGGACAGTGAGATGACAACAAGAGGGAGAAGAGCGATCTTCGGCGACGGGAATATAAATGGGTTTGGGGAGAAGAGAACACCAAATTCCGCGATTGGGGAGAGAGTGGGGAGAGAGAAGGACAAAGAAGAGAGATAGGGAGAGAGATGGGCAAAGAAGAAAGAAGAGAGAAAACATACCGTCGATGATGCCGTCGCCTGCACGAGGACTGACTCGATTTTTAATCGAAATTTTATGGTTGAAATTTAGATCAGTGAGGATGAGATTTTTCGAAGTGAAAAAGAAAGAGGTTC